TAACCTGGCCTCAACAAGCCATGAAACGCATCCTGGCTCACAACCCTGCAACACAGCATTCACATCCAGAACCTCATCAAAAACTCATTTATGCCAACAGAAGGTCACCCTCTTGTTCCACTGCACCATTAAAACCACTTCCTCTGACTACTGAAAAGTGCCATGTTTACTTGTAACCACACCACTTAGTGCCACTCGACCCAGGAAACATAATGGAAATACTTACATCTATTAATAGATCATTAAGCATATGGCAAAAATATGTCCTGCGGCCGATACACGGTATCAAAAGTCAAGACACTAGCATCAAAGTAAAGCCCCACTGGCTCCCTTCCCTTCAGGAGAGGGAAAGGAGAACTAGCTCACCCACCATTTATTTTGGCAATCATCATTTGCTCACTGTTTAGCAACATTTTAAGAGGCCCAACAGCACATTCCAGTTCTCTCCCTGAGGTTTCTTTCCCCTGACACAGAGTGTGGGTCTGCACACACACACAGATGCCACATTCAACACAAACAAGGGAATGAAAACTGGCAAGATGCAGGCAAGTCGCCAGCAAAAGGAAAGCACTTCCCATTTGTTCATACCACCCTCCCATGGGAAGGGAAACCAAATCCCTTAACTTAAAATATGTAAAAATCACAGTAATGATGTGTGGATAAACACTGCAATATTGTCTTATTTTCCCTTCTGAGACAAAAGCAAAGGGCCTTTCTTGGGTGATTTGTCATGCAGCAAGCTTAAGAGCATAAAAAATATTTTTGTTTCACATGGCTGGAGTTTTTTCAAAATTAAATTATTTTATTCCCCAATATAATTAGATATTGAAAGTTTATTCCAACTCAATGATCAAGGCTAGTTTATTCAAACTGGAGTATTCTTCCAGCTCTCACTTGATCTATCACTAAAATGAGAAGGCACCAGAGCCCTGCCTGGATCCCTTCAGCATTCCGGCTGTGGTTACAACCCCAGGCATGCAACAGCACCTTTGGAAAGTTTGCACCTTTTTCTTTTTAGTGTAGCCACATGAAGAATTTCAGTATTCCACACCCACAAGCAAAATTAATTTCAAAGTATAAATATTTGAATGAGCATTTTTCTGAAATAATGCAGAGCCTTGATGGCTTCTGCTTGGCATGAGATGAGTAATTTGATAATTCATATAGATTGAACTGGGCGTACTTGCAGATCTTCCTAAGTGAACATAAAACCACAATGCATCCTCCAGCATCTGGCACCAAAACATACAAAATTCTACTGACTGTAGTAGCATTACTACTATGTTCCTGAAGTTTTTTTATATGTTTATATGCTTTTATATATATATATATATATATATATATATGGTATCATGTATTTTTATCTGACACACCCATTCACATCCTATCAAAATCTCGGTAGAAGTAATGAATTCTCACTCATGTTATTTATTGAAATCCCTACTAGGAAAAAGAAGTTTCCAAGAGAAACTATTCAACAAAGCAAACTAGATTTATGAAGTGTCATATAATTTCTTCTAAACTGGTTGAATGCACAACACACCTGTGATGGGGGCATAAAATCCTTTGTCCTTTTTGTGCAAGCAGATGTATTACCATACACAAAGCCAAAAAGGCACCTGGCTCTGGCACAAAGTAACAATGCAGAAAATACCCCAGACTAAAATGCTCATCATATCACACCAAGTTAATACATATTCCATGGACTGGTCCTCTTGGAAGGCAAATTCAAGCACACAGGAATACAAAACAACATCTAATTACTACTGAAGGTGTTAACTTTGAAAGCTTGGACAATTTCACCTATTTATGTACTCAAAATACAGAAAATTTTGAGTTTACAGATTTTTCACAAACCAGAGAAAAGGATTTGAATGTACAACACTGCATCAAATGTGTATTTACTCTTGTAAGGAACAACAGAGCTCAAAAAGTTAAATACTACATGATGCACAGGAAACAATTGCTTCTGTTAAATCATTAGAAGAAATTGAGTTCAGCATTGTTTTTCCAACTGGTCCAATCAAAAAGCACATAAATGTAACACTGGAACACAAAAATCTGCATTTTACACACTGTAAAGGAATGAATATAACAAAAGTGAAACATTAATACCAAAAGTTTGCTACTGGCATCTTTATGCCAAGAAAAGTAACATGAAAACACAGTGAGAAAACAAACTTTAGCACACAGAAAAACAGTTTAAAGCACACCCAAGCAAACAGCTACCACAGCACGACTGTGCAAACCCTGCACAACATCAGGAATACCTCCTCTATTCATCACTGATTTGGACCTTCTCACTGAAAAACTGCTAAAACAACAAACACCTGCTGTGTAACTGAAGTTTATGCAAAGATCACAGAAATGCTTTATCAATCTCAGCAAAGCAGACGTTTGTCTGCAGCACCTCAATACTACAAGAATAATCAGCTCCCCCTCGATCAAAGGAAAGCAGACACAAACACATGAAAGAAGCAGCAAAAACCTTCAGATATTCAAGTGCAAAAGAAAATTTACGTTCCAGAATTTAGGGCAAAACAGTTTGATCTGGCATTTGGCAAACAAAGATGACATGCACACAAATAATACATTAAATGAAAAGAAGCACAATACTTCACAAAACTTCAGATCACAGAGGGCACAGATATTAAATAATTATGGGAAAGTGTAACCACTGTGGATAATGTATTTAAGAGTTACAAGAAGAAAATTATGAAAACTAAGAATGTGACCAACAAGCATTTGAATATATTAGTTCATTACAACTGCAAAAAGCCTGAAATGCACATGCATTATATATGTACATACACAGAGGACAACTCAAAGCCAGAAGAAATTCCACATGAAACATTTGGATTACTATTTAACTACAACAAGAAGTACTTTACTAAGATTCTTACAACATTCAGATCCACAGAGAGTGCTAGGGTTTTAGGATCTTGACAGTTTCATGACACAAATGAAGAAAAACAATAGTGTATTATTTGAATGACAAAGTCTGTCAGATGCATTAGTCTTTAAAACAACATAACAATAATCTTGACCAGGATTTTAATGGTTAGATAGATTTCCACTTTGTGAAACACACTTATCTCTTATCTTTATACAGTGACACATCATCATCATTAATCATTGTGGAGATAAGATACAGTGAAAGGTATTTCTAAATATCCTATCTAAAGTCAGCCCAGGGTAATGTGACTACCCAAGATTTCAAGTCACTTTTTTCACTAGGTAAGCTGCTTGAACAAAAGTATATTGGGAAAACTGATACATACCATGTTCCTACTTGCACTAATTCCAGGCATAGAAAATACACCAATAATATATCAAGTTGTGATGAAAATACCAAACACGAGTAAATTGCAGCAAAATAACTCAGAAATTATGTAAAATTACCTAAAACAGGCAGATTAAAATAAACCCTGTGACAGTACTGAACTTTGCTTTTGATTATTCCAATAACCTTGGCTACCGTTACTACTCCTTCCACTGTTTAAGCATATTATTCAGATTTTCCCTCTCAACCAGCAGATGTCCACAAGAAAGTTAAATCTGAGTGTGTAATACAAGTAACTAAATGCAGCTAGCATTTCCAAAATTTGCATTAGCTTTCTGATCAGTTTCATCTCTCTCCAACCTGTACAGTCCAGTTATTTATAAAAATTCCATAAAACACTATCTTAAAAAAAAAAAAAGGCATTATATAAATTGATGTAGAATCTAAACTGATGATTATTGCTTCTAGGATCTGCTCAACAGCTTGAGCCAGTCATAAACAAAGAGCTGGAAGCTGCAATGCCCTATCAGAGAGCTGGTGCAAAAACCTGATTTCATGAGCAGTGGTCAAGAAAACTAAAAAAAAGCCAAACAAGCTACTCAATAATCCTGACACTGGGACCTTCTTGCAAAGGTGAAACACACAAGAAGGAAATAAAATGGTTTTTTCCTATCACTTAAGCAGTCCAGAACTGAACAGAATTTAAAGCCTTGCTCTATCCTGTAGCCTTAGAAAGCATTGGTAAGTGAATGCCACACTTAAGATTTTTAATCAATTTCCCCTGTCAGTTTTGGTCCGCATACACTAAATGACAGATAACCAAGACAGTTATAATTGTGTTTTACCTATTCATGAGATTTAAAAAAACCCTTACCACATAAATCTTCATACAGTATAATCACACAGGACACATAGTTTCATTTACATTACATTTGTACATGCTTCTTCAATTAGCACATCTAGAAATAATTATGCAAGGTTTAAAAAAGCATTCCTGATGCCTTTCCACTGCTATAGATACACCAGGCACCAAAGCAAATGGAAGTACTATGCAACACTGTGCTATAAACACTAAAGTTTTCAGATCCTTTACTCTCCTAACCTGTGCATTTCAAGTAATACACCTTCCTTTTACTTCTGCAGTCCTGGAATTCAAAGGCAAGACATTTTTCTTCACTGTTTAGTGAACTTCACTGGAAAGAGGTTTGACTTTTCTTTTTTAAGGACAAAGTCAATACTTTAAATACCAAAACAGTAACAATGGGAGGATGCAGTGTATTAAACTGACCCAAACTAAAGCCAATACCTGCAAATGGTAATACCACATGAAAAGCAGCACATGAATTAACCTTGGGGATAAACAACCTTGAGTGTTCATATATAAGAGAAAACAGTACAGTACAAAAATAAGAATGTAAGTACACATTGTTTAAATCATTTTGGCCTATGAGAAATCACTTGGAAAAGCAATGAGATCAAGAAGAAAAACCCACACAGCATTTTTAAAGGAAACCACACATTAATTCCTTTCACACAAACTGGTTTTGTGATATACAATCTAGGACAGCACACACATCATTTTTTATCTTAAATTCTTTTAGGCACGATCATGTTTTCTATTAGGAAAAAACTCTAAACAAGCAAGAAACACATTTTACTCTGAAACCAAAGTGTCTAGTATTTCAACCTCCTAGCACACACTTTAAGCAAATCTCACCAGGCACTAAAAAGGAAGACGAGAGATTCAATACTGAGCCACTTGTCCTTCAAATGCTCTTTAGTCATTACCTTTACTACAGACAGCAACAGCAATAATGACTACATTTTGGTCACCTAACACTCTCCCTGACAAAAAGATTCCTACAGTGTCTTCTCATGCTATTGTTTGCCTCATGCCTTTGATTTTTGGCAAAGGGATACATAATTGAATTCTGCAAATATTATTTTCTTGTGCCACAGAATTTTGCTCCTTCTTTGCAGAATTATAACAATTTAACAATATTGTCTCCTCTAGTAGTCAAGAGATGCAAAAAAATTCCCTTATTGCAGGCTTGTTTATTACAGCTTGGTCTGGGCAGACAGTCTGAAGTGCCTTGCTTGCACTGCCATCCTAGCAATTTCCCCAGCACTGAGGATCCTACAGATCAAAACTCAGATGCTGCCAGAGAACTGCAGTTTGGAAAGGGGAATGGTGGCTACCATCACTGCCTGTTGTTGGGGCAGCACCCTTTTGGAGAACAACACCATGGGAATGAGCATTTTACTCTGGAACAGAGAGGTAAGATTCTTCTTATCCCTATGACCAAGATGAGGACTCCAGGATCAAGACATAAATACAAACATGAAGTAAGAGAGCATAATTTCCACATCCACATGAATGAATGATTCACTTGAGTAGCTGTTGTGCTGGTTACAGAATTGGCAAGTCCCACAAAAAAGAGCCTCATTCTCTGCTGCAGATCAAATGCCATCCATACTGCTGTCTGTAACACACACCACATATACACAATCTTTCACACCACATCATGTATTATCTTCTAGCAGGCAATTCAAATAACAAATTTAGCCAAGACACTCTGTACTACCTTCCTTAGGCATTAGCGCTCAAATGCCAATGCTTGACCACAAGTAATTACATCTGTCTGTGCCTGTCCATGCCCTACAACACACAACTCATTTGATACCATTTTTAATTAGAGTACATGCTACCTTTTCTGTGGATTCCCAATCTCATACAGGGTGAAAAATAGATTTTGTATTGGTCAATATAAAGAGTGAAGGTTTTTTGCAATATTTGCCTCTGAAGTTAGAAAGCAAAACTTAAAAAAAAAAGTCTGGGAAGAGTTCAAGTGAATATTGGGAAGAATCCCCTATGTTTTAGAAGAAATTAAGAAAATCCTCATGAATATGAATTCTGAGCATTTATTTCCTCCTGTCCTCCATGTGAAACCCTAAAAATAGAGACCCAAGCCCTAGAAGTACCTGACTGCTCAAAAGCAACAGCCTTTCAGCAAAAGCTGCAACTGCTGAGCATGTGGAGAAGGGTGAGAGTGAGGAACAGCAAACACAGGTATTCCCAGCTCCTTCCATGGCTCCTCAACTGTGTTACCCCAGAGAAGTCAAAGTCTCAGATTCCCACTCCATAAATTTGGAAGAGCAATCCTTCTTTATCTCCCAAAGTAACTGTAAAGCTACTTTTAGTCACTACAGTAGCTTAGGACAAACGGGGAAATTAATTCCCTCTTATGCACCAGGTTTAGATGGTTTACCATCCACAAAGCAGAGGCTCCATACCAGATAATTAAGGTAAGAGTGTAATGAGCACCTGCATAGCACCTTAATCACCACTCATCTCATACTCGAGCCCAGAGGAAGTCATGTGAAGAAGGAGCAGCCGGACCCACCCTAACACCTACACGCGAAGGTCACGACCACCAGCCTTGGCCCCAGCATCTCGGTGCTGGAGGGATCGATCCCACGCCAGGGGATCCGCACATACAGCACAGCAACCTCCACCACATCTCACACGCCCCTTTCACCCTCGGAAATTAAAAGTTACGTTCGCCGAGCAGCGACGAGGGACCTTAACCAGGAGCCGTGCCCATACGAGGGCTCTGCGTGCGGTGTTCACGCCCGATACCCGCTCAACCAGTTTGCTGCCCGGGCTGGGCAGCACCGGCACAGGCAGGCCCGGGCACCGCCGCGAACGAGGTTTACGAATCGCTGCCTCCCCGCTCCGCACTTCGGGGCACAGCCGAGCTGCCCCCCGGCAGCACCGCCGGCGGCCGGGGAAATCGCGGCGGCACAAAAGCCGCCTCACGGCGAGCACCTCCCGCGCCACAAAGGGCACGGACGGGCTCGCCGGAGCCGCTCCGCGTCCCCTCGGGAGCGGCTCCCGGCGCCGGCACCGCCGCGGCTCCCGCCGGGAGCGGCCGCCCCATCCCTCCGAGATGGCGGCCGGAGCCGGCGGCACCTGCCGGGGAGCGACCCCCGCCTGCCCCATCCCCGGGGCTCGGGCAGCGCCGGTCCCGGGCGGCGAGAGACGGGACGGGACGGCGCCGGGGGAAGCCGCAGGATGCGGGCGGGGGAGCCGCCGTC